ATGAGCATCAAAACTTCATCCTAGCCAGTTAGGTAACTCGTCCATTTGTCTGTAAGATATTGTTCTTTAAATTTTACTCATTTGACCCAAAATAGCTACTTGTACCCTGTATCCATTTGTTTTCTCATTGCTGTGACAGCTCAAGTGAGAACAGGTGGACTTGGAAAGGGAGGATGTGTCTTGGTTCACAGTTTGAGCCGAAGGAGGCATGGTAGCAAGAACATAAGCCGAGTGGCCACACTGAGTCTGCAGCCAACACGCAGAAATGGATGCTAGTACTCAACTCTCTTTCTCCATTTTATTCCGTCCAGGACCCTAGGACATGGAATGATGCCCCCCATGTTCAAACTGAACTCTCTTTCCTCTTATAAATCTCTCTATAAATGCTCTCACATACATGTCCCAATATTTGTCTCCAACGTGATTCTAAGTCCCATCGAGTTGACATTAGGCATCACACCCCCCAGTCTCATGACAAAACACCTGCATTTAATTACTTAATGATAAGCATATCTTTGAGAGCTAGAACATAGAACGTAACTTCTCTAAAAATCCTCATGTATTGAGCTTTAGCTATATATTTAAAAGTCATGGTTCAAATGAGAAGAAATCCACCCCACCCCAACCCCCGCATAGTCTTGGGTCCTTTGTTCCCAACTACTGGTGCTTTAGAGGACATTGTGGAAATTTTAGGCTGTGAAGCCTTGCTGGAGGAGGTATATGACTGGGGCAGGCTTTGAGAAGGTATAGCCTTACCACACCGCTAGTCTCTCTCTGTTTCCTGTGTACAGATGAGATGTGATCTCTCAGTTTCCTGCTTACGCCACTATGCCTCTCCAGACATTAAGGACACCTACACCCCTGAATCTATAGGCCAAAACAAACACTTCCTTAAGTTACCATTGATTATGATAGTCTATCACAGCAACAGAAATGTAACTAGTGTGTAAGTCCACCCAGATGTCAATAAGTAGAAGGAGTTGACTCCGGGTTGAATAATCTGCTAGACAGAAAAACTTGAGTTAACAAGATCAAGAGTTCTTCAGATCAGGAAGAGTTCCAGAGAAGCTGCGGTCCTGGCCTAGAAAACGAGCTTGAAGTCAGGCCCCAGCTCTCCTCATTAGCAGCTTCTTTGTCATCAACATGTGGAGGTGCCAGAGCCCCATGACCCAAATGTTTTAAATCCAGTAGTTAGCCATCAGCCACAGGAGGTGAGGTACAGCCTGAATCCCATCATCATCTTATGCCATGAAGTCTTTTGCCCAAGGACAAGAAAATGGAGAAATAACAAACATTCCAGAACCACTCAAGTATCTGAACCATCTAGAACCATCAAGTATCCATGACGACACTTAGTAGAGAAGCATGTCATTGTTTCCAGGCCATAGAGTCTATAGCAGATGCTCAGCACCTGGTTTTAAGATTTTTAAGGCCAGGAAACAAAATATCACTGTGAGGGAAGGACCACTATTAGCAAAATATGTTTAAAATAAGAGGCAGAGCATTCTGGAGAGAGCTATGAGTCATTAATATAAATCAGTTATGACAGCCAGGGAAGGAAGAAGGCAATCAGGCCATCTGCACTTGAGCTAATCTGTGTTACCTGTTAGGTCAAAGCAAGAACACCCTAGAAGCCAGGTTACTGCCGAGATTGCCCTGGTGGGTGATATACTCAGAAAGGACCCCTCATTTGCAGGGTGGCTGTAGTCTGTTGGGCCAGGCCTTATAAAAGGCAGAATCATCAAAAACCCCAAACAGAAGTGCTGTGGGATAATGCTCTTCTACAATGTAAAGATTTGTTGCTTTAATTGGTTTAATAAAACACTGATAGGCCAGTAGCCAGGCAGGAAGTATAGGCGGGGTGACCAAACTAAGAATGCTGGGAGAGAAAGGGCAGAGTCAGGAGTCACCAGCCAGACTTGGAGAAACATGTGAATGTTGCACTGAGAAAAGGTACCAAGCCACATGGCTAAACATAGATAAGAATTATGGGTTAATTTAAGCATAAGAGCTAGTTAGTAATAAGCCTGAGCTACCAGCCAAGCATTTACAAGAAACATTAAGTCTCCTAGTCAATTATTTGGGAAGCAACTGCTGGGTATTGGGAGTTGCTGGCTGGACACAGAAACTTATGCCTACACAGAAGATTTTATATTTATTTTGTTTTGCTATTTACTCACCAAGGAAGAATTTTGACAGTCACTGATGTACGTTTATGGGTATTGTGTGTACACATAAACAATGTATATTAGATAGTAAACACATAACTGTTTACTATCAAGGCATGTTAATAATGCTGCTTATTGGAACTACCAGGTGTTATATACTCCTGTAGAAAACATGCACAGTAAGAGGTTATATGTTATATCATGTATGTTTTATCATTATTGTCAGGCACTGCCCTGTAATGATGGTTACATTCATGGAATGTGTCATGTGTGCGACTTCTCAGCGAAGTTTGAATTATTTATTTTAATGTCAGTCATCCCAAAGAAGTAGGCAATACCATACTCATTTTACCAAAGACAATGCGAAGGCTCATAGCTGCAAGGAACATATGGAAGATTCAGCCCAGTTTTTTTGTTTGTTTTTTTTTTTCTTCTGATTCTGAAGTGCTGCCAGGAGTTATCATAATGCTGATTCTTTCGTCCGACTTCTCTGCACCTCTGTTCTATACTCTAAGCAGGACATAGGCATTGGAAGAACCAATCTTAATGTGCAAACTTCACGGCGTTTCAATCGTGATTCAGAAATACTATGACTTATAAATAAAAGATTTAAATCACCAAGCAACATTCCCTCTCTCACATTTTCTGAGCCGTGTGTTGCAGTTTGGTAAAAAGTCATTTATTTTCTTACTTCATGGAACACACCATTGCTTACGTAGCTTGCCATTATATCCACTGTACTTCCCCATTATACGTTTATCCTTTTCCTCAAACATTCATGCCTTTGAGGGACTGAGTAAATACCTTTCAGGATAATTACAAAGGCATAGTAACATGCTCCACTCACAGGTCTTTGCATGCTTATTACTTTGTCATGGATGTAGTTTATCAATTTCATTTTTATCTCACTGTCAATATGTTAAATCCCAAAGATAAATGTGCTTAACATATTGCATATGAAATATCAATGCCACAGAACAGGGAAGTAATTTAGCTTAATTGTTGGCAGTTAATACATTGCAGACTCCAAGGCTGAGTTTAAAGGCCTTTGAAGCATTAGATGAAAATTGATGGGAAGTTATCACAGTGAATCCACCTGATGCATATTTTCCCCAGTTGATTAACTTCTTCCCCTTTCTCCAGATGATGGCTTGAGGATTCAAAACAGCTGGTACATCTACACCATACATTTCTATGACCTAACCGTAGTCTTATAACTTAATGAACATTTTGTTATATTTGTCTTGCTGTGTTCATGGGTATTTCTTCTCAAAGTAGTTAAGAGGATTTTGAATACTGAGGAAAATAACCTATGGGACTTGAGTAAAGATTGGAATAGAGTTTGAAGTGTTAAGACATGGGTTAGTGGCTACTGAGTCTTTCACAGGCTTGGAGTCTTAAAATTCAGAGAGCTTAGTCCAGATGTTCTAAACATGGTATGGTAAGTGCTGTGTACTGCAGCATAAATTTTAAGTGGTCTTTATAAAATCCCAGAGTCAGATATCTGGGTAAACGTTGAAAGATCAGAGAAGTAAAGGCACAAGCCACAGCCACTTCTTACCTCTATGAATCCTCAGACTGAAAGGGCCGAGCTCCTGTCTCCTCCTGCTTTATATTCCTCTCTCCACCCAGCCATATCACTTCTTGTTTCCCCCTCCCAAGTGCTAGGATTAAAGGCATGTGCCTCCCAAGTAGTGAGGTCAAAGGCATGAGATCCTAAGTGCTGAGATTAAAGATGTGTGCCACCACTGCCTGGCCTCTAGCTACTAGCTCCACACTCTGATCTCCAGGTAGGCTTTATTTGTTAGAGCACAAACAAAATATCACCACAGTATACTCTCTTCCATCCTTGGGCTCTTTATATCTCACAGAGTGTTTGACACTAAGATCACATTCTTTCTCCAGCTTCTTCTACATAAGAATTATTCCCCCAGTCACCAGTCCTTCCCTGGTGACACTATTGACATTTTGGTATATAT